GGCACTGCCATACAGCACGCCACTCATCAGAAGGCACTGCCATACAGCACGCCACTCATCAGAAGGCACTGCCATACAGCACGCCACTCATCAGAAGGCACTGCCATACAGCACGCCACTTATCAGAAGGCACTGCCATACAGCACGCCACTTATCAGAAGGCACTGCCATTGAACAGCAGCTCAGCCAGACTTTTGGCAGTTTTAGATTTTGATCACCTCAGATCTTTGTGGGGACCCGAAAAACGTCCTCACAACATCAAAATAACAGGTTTTTGTCACATTGTGGGGGACATTTAGTCCCCAAAACGTAATATAAACACTATCCATACATATACACATGCGCACACACACAGACCTGTATTCATAGCTTTGTGGGGACCACCCATTCATTTCTAAGGGCAACACCCTCATCCCCACAATGACAACCCCAACCCAGCCCTAACCTTAACCATAAGTAACCAAACAAAACAGAAGACTTTTTGCATTTTTAGTTTTTTGATTGTAGTCAGTTTTTTTTTTTTTTTATAAAATTGAGTTGTAAATGGTCCCCACAACAATAGGTTTTTATCACATTTGGTCGCTACAATGTAATGTATCCTCCACAGGATTCAAACCCCCAAACCAGAACCTGAGAGATTACAGAGCTACACACTGAGCCACTGTAACACCCGTTCATGGAGTTAGTGCCCAAACAGATTTGCCTATATATAAAGGCAAGGCCTTGCGAAGCATTAAAAAAACACAGTAACATATTCCTTTCAGAGTTTGATTTAAGGTTCAGGCATTTATTTATGTCTTTGTTTTTGGAAAAGGCCTTTGCCCACCTTTCTATTCTACAGTAGTAATAACAATCTGGAGTCATACTTCTGGAAATCTGGGGTTTATCCATCCATCCTCCACATCTGCTTGTCCTGCACAGGGTGCTGGGTGTCTCTAGCCTATCCCCGGGGCAATGGGTGCGAGGCAGGGAATAACCCAGGACAGAGTCCCGAGCCATTGCAGGGGATTCACACTTTGGCAACTTGGTACATTTTTGGGCTTTGTGGAAGAGACCCCAATGACCATGATCTGAGGGCAAGCGGCACTGGTGATATTGATATGAGTATTTCTTCAGTGTTAGTATCTATTTCAACGAAACACAGATAATATTACTTGTGATAAATCTAATCCACTAGTTCCCTGAAAACAAGCCTGTGTACAAGTTGCATATGGTTGAAAGCACTCGTCTGAATACATTCCCTTCCTCTTATTGTGTGCAGCGTCTCACTTCATCTTGGTGACAGCCTGTAACAGTGCTTACCAAGATGCCATTGACGAATTCTGCCTGACTAAGTTCAAGCTGGACATGGAGGCCCTGGACTCTCACTACTGGTGCAGCTGGGACAACACTATACAGTAAGTGTGGAGTGGCTCAAATGCAGTTCTGGCTGATTTATTTCCATATTTATTTTGTCATATTCCAATTACATGTATATCATTAATGTATGTGGAGTGTGTTTTGAGCTGATTTTCTTTCGAAAAAAGATGTAACAAAGGCCAAGAAAGGGTTGGGTTTTTAAGCAAATCCTATTTCCCAGCTTGTGCCTGGTTGTACTATTAGCCAGTAAATAATAAGAATGGCATTGACACGGAGATTTTATTAGCAGAACAATTTTTTGCTTATTTGAGTTTAATTCCAATATGATATAATTGATATAATAATTATACCCGTACACTGATGAAAGAAGTATACAACACATATATGTAAATATGACAACTTAACAAATCCATATATAAAGAGTGTAATCTTAGGCCTTGTCTTTTTCTGTATAATAACCTGTTGGATCATACGTTAGTATCAATAAACTGCTTTCCATTTAGTTTTTGTTAAACTTCCCCTGCATATATCACTTGCACTAGCAGGGAAAACATGAATCCTGCTTATGAAGTCTGGGAAGTTGCATAACTTTGTGAAATTTAGAAAAAAAAATCACTAAGCTCATTTAAACAGAAACAAGAGATATACTGTATTTGCATTACAGGGGACATTTCAGAGCCCTGTTTTAATGTTTGCTTTGATGCTTATTGCACCTTTCTGTGTTTTCATAAACCTTACAAAAGGCTTTTCTTGTGTTAGTATAGCAGGGAGCAGTTTATTTTGAAGTTGAGTTCTTACAGACTGTCTTTATTCTCTGATTAAGAGTGCATCATGTCACAATGCCAGCTGGACTGCATTGTATCTTACAGTGTACCCTGTAAAACAGTGAAATCAGCCTTTCAGCAGTCAGATTGACATAAGAGAATGGATCAGGGTTCCACAATAATTTTCCTGGAGGGCAAACTTCTGTCAACAACACAAAGCAAAGAGCCACTGCCCTCGATAGTCACATAGATACACAGATACATAGTCGATAGATACACAGTCACATGGAAATATATTGCAAATCCTCAGAGCAGATGATCCAGAATTAGGAAAAGGTTGCAGCAAACCAGATTGTATGGAGGTATATCATGTTCAGACTCTGAATACAAAATCATGAACCTGGATTATAAATCCACTAATGCCACAGGTAAGAATCATAGAAAATGCAGCACTGCAGACTCTGATGTTTGAGATTAATATTATACTTTATATCATTTTAAGTCACTGTTTGACATTACTTAAAATATTTTATATATAAATTTCTTTATAGCCATAACCTATTACACATTAATTATCTCTTGTGTGCTGAGTGGAATTTGCATATCAGTCATCAAAGCATATGGGGAGTTATAAGAACTCATCTCCAAGTGTTATATGCCCTTTATATCACTTTAGCCTAGGGGATGCAAAATGGAGATTACCATTATACTCTTTGGATATTGTAGATGAAAGGACATTTGGAGGTTATTCTGAGTTATATTAAAATAAAAATCTTTGAGGCAAAAGCTGGGTCGAAATCTCACATTGGGGATCTCCATCCAGCCAATTTTAGGAAGGCCATTTATCTCTCCCATAAAGATCCAAATGCATCAAAATGAGAACTAATTTGTGAGTGAAGGGCCACCGATAGTGGACAGCCTAGTTTTCAGCAAAAGCATACTGGTAGCTTGTGTTTAAAGATAACAAATAGCAGCTCATATTTCCTATAAACAGACATTTATGTAATTGCATAATCGGGGGTGGCACAATGGTGCCGTGGTTTGCACAGTGACCGCACACCTCTGGAGACGAGGGTTCAAGACTTTTTTCCTGCTCTGTGTGTGTGTGTGTGTGTATGTACTGCAAAGGGTCAGCACCTTGTCCTGGGTTATTCCCTGCCTTAGACTCATTGCCTCTGGGCTTGGCTCAAACAAGCAATGTCATTCAATAAATGGATTGTACCATTCTGTCATTGCCCCATAAACAAAGATGCAACAGAGTAACTTGTTCTTCCACATTAGACAGCCAAACTTGCAGCAGTCTGGCAGATTCCTTCTGCTGCTAGCACTCCGTCCGATAGTGAGCACCACCTGGCACAAGGCTTGCTTATCTTGCCATGAATTCTTGGCACAAAAAGCTCGGTATTTCACCCCAAAGGATACTCTTGGATCCCTTGAACACGATCATTATCACAGTCTTAAGTTTCATAGATGGAATTCAAGCGTTTTGCTGAAAAGTACCAAACAGTTAGGATTTTAACTTAAAACCAAAAAATGGTTACTGTTCAGGTTATTGTCTTTATTCGTCCATAGTGGATCCCATTCCCAGAATATGTATAGGCTACTCTACTTCTGTGGCTTAACCCTTCAAGACACAAGTTATTTGCTTTTTTTTTTTACAAGCTCTGCATATGTCATGAAGGCATCTTAAACTCCAACTGAAGCTGTTTATGAATGTTACTAGGTTATGTTTTATAAGATCTGTGAAATACTTCGTTTTCTTTTATTTGTGAGTCTAACCCATCTTAAGTCAAAGCCTGGTTCATTTCTGGATGATACATACCAGTTTAATAGTAAAAAAAAACATCCATTAAAATAAGCCTCCACATAATTCTAAATAACTTTGACTGTTAAACTGGATGAGTGTGTATTACCTTCCAATTACAACTCATCAGCCCATTAATACCGGTTAGTAATTTCATTGAATGTGCTACCATGCTGGTACAAAATAATCAACAAACAATTCTTGAAAGCAAATATTGTAAAATATATTATATCATGGTAATGTGAAAAAATGTAAGTTTTGAAAAGTACGAATACTTGAGTGTCCCCTGCTGAGAGCCCTGGGTTTCCTGGGATAAGGTCCAAGCTCATCATGACCCTGTATCAGAGAAGTGGTCATGAAAGGTGGATTCATTTGCTATTTCATTGATGGCTATGATGAAATATTGATCCAACAAGTAGATGCAAAAAAAGCATAGCTGCAGAACTGTAGTTTCCAGCCTTAAAAGTACAGAATGAAATAAATTTCCTTTTAATTGGAAAGTTTTCATTAAAAAATATTTGAATTATGTATTTTCGTCACCATACAATACAATCTCAGGACTAAGAAAAACAGGAAGAAATAGAGTACTCGTAGGTTCAGATAGATGAAACTGCTTCCTTTACTTTCAAATAGCTGAGTGAGGTTTCATAATTCAATATGAACTATTATGATTCTGTTCCACTACTCATTCAAACCACAGAGAAAATGTAAATATTTATGATTTCAGAATAAATGAACTTCTCCCTGTAAGATCTTTGTCAAGTAGTCAATTTTAAACAATGATTCCAATGGGATGAACCAGGAACCACAGAAGTAGAGATTGAACAGTACCACTAAGACAGTCCTTACTGAAGATGTGCCCATCTTAAGACAATGATGCAAGAAGATATGAAAGTAACTGTCAGCCCATAAGGCATTGATATGGAACATAAGGACTGGGCTAACACTTGATTAGGCCTAATTAGAAAAACACGAATGTCCTTGAGTGGATGAGTCCTCTTAGACACCCGTGATGACAGATATTACAAATAACAACTGAAGTATTCCGTTACACTCTGTAATGTGGATGCTTGTCCCAAAGTACTATTTATTTATATTTGCTTCTTTTACTTGTATAATTTTCAATCATTTATTTTAGTACATTTGTAATTCATTTCTAGTAATTCATTCATTTTTATGTTTAACTTACACAATAAAGAACTGAAAGAACTTACACTACCTTCATAACATTTAGTATTTAGTCTGTTGGTTTTTTTAAATACTGTGCAAAATATCATTTAAAAGGTATCGTACATTTAAAAAGCTATATTTAAAAGGTAGCTTATATTGAAGGACACATAAAATATATTGCACCAATGACCATGTCTTTCCTAGCATTGCATATAAAAACCTGTTACAATACATGCACTAAACTATGTATATATTCCTGTTCCCACCCATCCAGCAAGTTATCAAACATCTACTTTGAGCTCTTATGCCTTCTAAGCATACACAGTGAACGGAGCCCACTACTCTGCCCTGACAGACACATACTCTGTAATAACAGATAAGTAATAATAGCTTTTAATAAAAGCATGATAGTTTCAAAATGCCATAACTAAACACTGGGGCCAAGAATGACTGAAGGTCTTGCTTATCACAACTTGTAATATATACACATCTTTTCTCAAGCAAAGGTTTGGTCTCTCCGTCATATTAAGCAAATTTTCAGTGAAAAATTACCTGCTAGTAGCTGTACTTGCAGACGATACCACACACTCTCTTTACACGATATCAGACAAACAGGCATGGCCGAATAGTGTTTCTACAGAAATATTCATTGTTTGACCTGATTACTATGAATACATGTAACAGAGTCTATTGATTAAAAGAATATTCATCTGAAAAAAGATAGCTTCACTCATATTAACAGAAGTATTTTGTTTGTTGTTTGTTTTGCATTGTACAGTAGGTAGTAAGTGGTACATATATTTTTATAGTATTAAAATACTTATTTGGGTCAGCATACGGAAATATTTTAATATGCATCTGCAAAATAGTACACCCTAGAAAATTTAGGAGGAAAATTCCAAGTGCAAAATTCCAATGTACTGCTTTTCATATTTGTAGCTCACATAAGGTATTGTTCTCAAAGTGCTTGGTTAGACAAACCTATAACTCTGATACCCTAAAACAACTTATAGGGCTTTAGGCCTATATGAAAGTTCTGATCTAGTGGTACCTAGTCCTGCTATTTATTACTGGCAATGTTGTGGTTTTAAATCATCCATAATCTGACCTGTGGAAACAAATTTTCCATTACAATGACAAAAAGAAAAAGTCATTATCTGTTCTAGGGTTTTCAGCAGCTGAAAGTTTATTTTAAAAGCAATGCAGGTAAGTGCTATGTGTACTATTATGTCTTATTATGGGACTTAAACACATACATGCATGAGTATATAAACCTTATAATTGGTCTAAATAGTAATGTTGCAATGTAACAAGGAAATACAAAAATACTTCTGGACCTCTGACCCCCGTAGATCATAATAGATTACTAATCGTTTTCTAAACATTCCTAGATTCACCTACAGCACTTGAGAGTTGTATACATTCATGTGCAGTAGAAATGAAATTTCCATTTTATAATTGATGTGCACACATTTGCATTAGGTGGTGGTTACTAACTTTTTTGGTCCATATATCCACATATTTCAGTGTTGCACATTCGAAAGTCTTTCAGTTCGTTATCTTGTATGATGGACCTAACAACGTCATCCGTTTATAATTTCTAGTATACATACAGTATCCTTCTTGTTAGCTAATATTTACACCCTTTTTACTGTACATGGTCATCTTATTTCTGCCAGTGTGCTGTAACCTTTTTATCTGATATACTGTATTCCCAGCCTCCCTTTGTACACTTGCTGCTCACATGAGTGACACCTACAGTACATTGACTGCCAGAGTCACATTTCTTTCTAGCAAGGCAAGGTAGTTCCATACCTATTGGAGGAGGTTAGGACAGATGATGCCTCTGAGATTGGAACTAGAATGGTGGTCAAGGTCTTTTTTCCAGAATGATGAGAGCATTACAAGCACAACATGTGAAATTGCCAGATATTATTAATGAAGATCCTCTGGAATTCACAAAGAAAAGAGCAGAGACCCTGGCACTTAGCCCCAATGGGGCATGCCGTTTTTGTCCAGTTTATCCTATGCACAATGGAGTAAGTAAGTATAGGAAGTATGTAATTGACCCATGCTGCAAAGTAGGAAAGCACTGCACCACCTACACAAACAATTCCATGACCCTTGACTTGATTTGGAAAAATCTGAGGAATTGTGTTTATATACCACAACCCTGGATAAGCAGTTGAATTTATGAGCTGTGTATATATTGTGATGCTTTATTTGATGTCTTCTAAATATTATTGTGAAGTGACATTTAGAACATATTCCTGATTTTCTGATTGTTTTTATTTATTTGATCCTTTCTAGACTAGTCCACTAACTCTAGGTGGAATGTCCTCAAATCTCAACTCACCTATTTGTTTTATCTGCCTACAGGACCTACAGAGAACTGACAAACTGCACCTTCATGATTGCACTGAAGATGAATTGCTTTTGGCCCAATTGGCCGGTGGAGGAATTCTTTGTAGGAATTCACCGGAAATACTTCCAAAACTGCTCCTTGACAGGGCGCCTGCCTGAGGACCCTCCTAAACACATATTGGGCCCGTTTATTGTGGTACCCATCCTAGTTACACTCCTTATGACATCCCTGGTGGTATGGAGGAGCAAGCACAGTGAGGGCATTGTGTAGGTCACCACCGGGGCTATACAAGCAGTGCAGAAGCAATGATGGACACCAAGAAAGCTTAAAGTATGGAACTTGGAATAACAATCCAAATCACAAATGGAGTCAGAATTCACAAAAGGGGATCATTATAACAAAATGACTATTACTGGCTTATTTTCAACCTTTTCAAACACCTCAATAGATGGGGATAATATTATAATATTGTGTAAAAATATAAATGTCTTTCTGATGGGACAACCTGCAAAATGATAAGCAATGTTGTAAGGACAGCCAAGCTTGCTTGGCTAATATTTGGTCTTTGGATGCTGCAATATCTGTAATATTTATGAGCACTGGGTTGTACTCAGTTTATGAAGAATGACATTTATATTATATATATACATTTTTATGTTTGTATATGAGATCTTAGGTGTAAGTCATAGTCTCAAGATACATATCTATACTGTACAAAATAAAAGTATTTCAATTTTTAATAACAGGAGACCAGGACTCAACCACAGGCAATAAGCTTTGGGCGGCATGTATTCCCCTAATTGATTCTAGTCCATTACAATTCTGAGTCGATCTAGCTATGCAGTTTTACCACTGAAATCTTAATATTAATAATAATTAAGGTAAAAATGAATGTGGATTTTACTCAAAGAACAAGTTATATAACTTACAATGTGTTTTGTTTCCTACCAACTATCCAAAAAGTATGGGCACGCAATGTTAATGTTAATGTTACAAGAAGGTGGAGTCTTGGAACAACTAATGAGGATTTGCTAGGAAATACTGCATGCTTACTCAGTACATTTAAGTACTGCAAATCATCCACATGTTAAAAATTAATTCAAAAAGGTAAAAATATAATTTTTACTCAGCACCCACCCCCCCAAGCCCATGTCCATGCCTGCTTGCTGGACAGCTAGATGAACATCTCTTTGGTTCCCAAACCTCAGCCATTCCCATTAAATTTCAGGCAGCTCTCTTAATTAATTAACTTAATTAGTTAATTAAGTAACTCAATGAGGTATTGATTGGCTGAACAAAGTAGGGTAGTGGTCAAGTCAAGAAAACACTGGTGTATTGGACAGTTGCTGCAAATACTGGGATGATTTTTGAAGAGGGTTTTGACATGGCAAAGCTGACACACTGACACTTAGACAGACATAATATCATAGTTTTGCACCAAAATAATTTTATTATCATCAAAATATAGTGGTTGGTATTTTCATTTGTCTTGTATATTTAGTAATTTTACTGGAGGAAGATATTGCACTTAAATACGATCTAAGTATGAAAAAGCTTCAAGTATTTCCTAAGATATTAATTACTAGATTGGAGTCAAAAAGCTTCATGATCTGTTCCCACATGCCAGTCTAATTGCTTTATTTCTGTTTCTCATAAGTGCTCAGCTAAGTCTGTCCCAGAAGACCATTGTGGACAATGCCCTTGCTCATTTAGTGACATTACACCGACACACTGCTGCTAATGAAAGAACACAATATAACACGCATCTCTCTAGCTAAGAGGCCTTTGTCAGATTTTCTGTTAAGGGGTTTAAGGGGACAATGGTTTACAAGGACAACGGGCAGGTTCCTAGCTATTTCTTCCATATGATCCAATAGCTGTTGCTGTATCTATTTAGCCGCATCCAAATTCAGTACTCTCATTCCTCGCATGTCCTGATCGTGTGGAGTTTGATATGTCCCTTGATCAACAAGGGAGGCACTTGTGTTTCACTTCTTTAACCAGTCACAATCTTCATCATATGACATCATCACACTAATTAAAACCAGTGTTTTCTGTTATACGGCAAAATGCACAGTTTTCTAAAGTACCTGTTTTATTGTGCATGCCCTTTATTAAGGACATGTAATGGATAAGTAAGGGATAATGTACAGGCAGCCGGTAGTTATCGCAGAAATAAGCCCCGACAGTGTGATCAGGACCCGACGTGAAGCGGAGGGCCTTGTACTGTATCACACTGAAGGGGTTTATTTCGCGATAACTACCGGCTGCCTGTACATTATCCCGCTTATTACACGGCTACTTGCCACATAAGGAAAAAAACTGGACATGAATATGAATTTGAAACATTTTATTGGCATATTTGTTTTAAATTAACATTTTTATCCTTCCGCGAAACGATATAGTACCACGTGACTAACATTCAAACGTTAATAAGACAATTTATAACATCTACATATGATTATATAATAACGTATGTATTTTATTTATTTACAAGTATTAAATTGCACATTTCCATTAATTGTGAACTGTGACATTGTAAATGTGGTCCTAGCGGGGATGTTGAAGTTGATGCGAAAGTTTTCTCTATGGACTTTTTGTTGACTGCACCTAAAATCACACTTATCATTAAACTATGTTGGTGATTGAATTTTATGATAAATATTATATTTAATACGAACACTTACTGCTTGCCAAGCTGTTGTCAGGATTTGATGAGAGTATACTGCTCCATTTCTGTCTGTCAGCGGTGGTCGGAGTCCAGTAAGTCTTGTTGGCGCGGAGGGATTTTAAACATACAAGTAGTACCGGCTATGCATTATTACTTTGGAGCGGTAATTATTTGAAAAGAACGAACCTGCAAATGTCTCAACTGACCAATCAGAATCAAGCATTCCAGAGAGCCGTGTAATAAACATAGATATACCATAGGGATATGCTTACCTGAAAAGGCAAAGAAAGAGTGTGTCTGTTTCAAGACAACAAGAAAAACAACAATAAGAACAACAACAATAATAATAACAAGGCTTGAACCAGCAGTATTGTGATAACAAGCAGAGGCTTAGCTTGCTGAGCCACTCACTGCTCCAAGCCTGGCAGCTGAATGGCTGGAAACCTTGAATTACAAAATGAGAAACAAACAGACCAATGTGATGATGTCATACAATGAAGACTTTGATTGGCTAAAGAAATGAAATGCAACCCTTGTTAACCCAGGGACGCATCAAACTTGGCAAAATCAGGACGTCCCTCATTCCTCAAAATCGTGTGTGCTGTGCATTGTGTGGTCCTGGAACTGACCTTTAACCCATAACCCTGAGTATGATGACAAATATGGATCACAGAAAGGCTACAAATGGAAGCAAGCATTAGGGTCAGTGTAAATGAATTAGTGTAAATTAATCATTGACATCTGTGGTAAACAGGGTCCTGTCCAGTCTATACCCCTGCCAAGTGCCCTATGCTGTCTGTGTTGATCCTCATGAGAATAACACCATGGAAGATGAATGAATGGATGGAGTCATTTACATTGAAAGTTAGTGTTGATATTTTAACCTGTATAAACCAATATACATACTAAGCTGAAATTAAAATACAGTGAAAGTGTTTTGCAGAAATGTCTATAATCATTATAGTGTATTGGCTCAAAAAATCACTTTTGACCATTTGTTACAGTAAGGAAATAATTATCTAGAAAGCCGACATCAAATAATCATATTACAAAACATTTCAGTTCTATCATAAATATTAAAAGTTGCAACAAATTTGCAAGTTAGAGTCACTACAGTAATTCACTTTTCAGAGGAAACCCATGCAGACAGACAGTCGACATGAAAACTCCACATGCACAGAGAGAGGGAGGAGAATCAAATTGTTATTCCAAAACAATTGTAGGCTAAATCGTAGGCTAAAGGGCTAGATTATATAACAACCATTCCAAAATAATTACAGACACATGCACTGGCTGAAACCAAGGTTGACTTCACATAAACTATGAAAACAATGGTGTTTCAAATACCATAATCAATCTCTTTTCAATAATTAATTATTGAGTCAGGGCTACTATGATCCAGGTGTATTAGGGTTGTTAAGAACTCACATAATGCAGTAATCTGGTAGTTATTAGTTCAGGTTTGTCTATAGAATTGTATTTTGGTTATGCCATGTAATATCTGGCAGCATAAGTATAGACACCACTCTCAATGTTACGACAGAGTTAAACTATACTACATTTGGGACATTCTAATGTGGGTAAATAAAACCGATGTTCTTTTCTAGCAGTATCTCCATGTTTCTTGTCATTAGAGGTAATGACATAATGGAGTGCATTTCAGACACAGGTGAGCCTCTGTTCTCTGACCAGAAAGAAACTTTCCATAGTCGGACGGCAGCAGACTTGTCTTAACAGCTCCCGCACTGGCTATCAATAAACCATAACCATGTAAAGCAAAAGAGGAAAGGAATCTCCCAAGGACATAAATGAGATCAAAACAGAACTAAGAAATGTAATTAATATGTTACAGTTTGTTGCTCAAAATGGGTTTTGACTTAGCACCACGGGGCAGCATTAAAACCAGCAATCAAACAAATTGTTAAGCTGAATTCTGAGACGGATTTTAGGAATGACGTTTTCAGATATCGCTATAATAAACAGGTAAAGCTGGATTTATGAAAGGTTCTCCCCAATGTGAAGAAACATTTCCTGCTGCTCTGACACACATAAACATATCAGTACTAGTTTTGGTTGGATCATTTATTATTTTATATATTGTGTGCCAGGCAGACCAAACAAATTGCTCCCGATTTTTGTAGTGCAACCCTGAAACATAAACAAGCTTACAATCAGATAAAATCTTAGGAGTTATAAGGTGGGGGGAAACAATATAGAGAAAGAAAAAAAAATCTGTTTTCAGCATCATGGTACTTTTAATGGCATTGATGTTTTTGCAGGCAGAGGGAAAAGTTGTAGTGTGTGATAAAACACCCTGTTTATATACCTTTGGCAGCTGAACACAATGACAGTCAAATGGTATTCAGAAGCCTAAAGAGTATTCAGTCATGGGAAAGAATGCAAGCAGTTCGTCTTAAATACAATGACGTATATGTATGTGACCGGACATATGAAGACCGAAGCATATCTGTATGCGGAGTGTAAACCAGCTAAATGCTCTTGCTTTTATTAAATAAAATATTTTTCCATATTATTATCCCACCACAGAGGAGGCTGAGTTTCTTTTGCTAATGACAAAGCTAATTTTTCTGCATATCCCCTGTGTGGGTGGCTTTGATTTCATGAAAGTTCTAATAAAGCTGAGTAGACTGAACATATCCTCTATTCATCCGTTCATTGTCTTAGTACAATGAGATGCTTAATTGCACGCCTCCTGCAAAACGTCAGCTAATAGTACATTAACAAAGAGTAACAATAAGTAGCAGCATCAGACAATAATGACAACAGGAACAGTAAGTGACACAGACAATAAATAACAAAACAACCGAAAAGAAATTGCAGCACAAGTGATCATGAGTGATGACTGCATTGACAGACATGACAAAGAGCAATAATAACAAAATTAGATGTGAATCAAAGACAAGTTTGCAATGCAGTTTCTTTACAACAAAGTAACAGATGATCCTGGAATAACGAACATCAATGACACCAATAAAAGAATAACCATAAAGCAACTGCACATCTTTTATCTTTTTAGTTGATGCTCAGGAGGGCCAATCACTGAGATATGCAGATGGAAAAAAAATTAATTACCAAAGAGAAACGAACATGAAATACTGCAGTAAATGATCAAATTCCAGAGTCTAAAACAGTTCAAGTATACAAAATGAAGGAGTAATTAGTCCATGATCAATGGGCCTTACTTTAATCTCTCTTACATAAAACGTAAACAGTATCACTGAATACATTATTGTTGCTTGTAAGGTCTGTAGTTTTTTCAGTACCACATGGGGAGGTCATGATGTTTTGGTTACTCCGTTTGTATGTATATGTATACATACAATGTATTAGATCTGGATATATTAGATGGTAAGCTAAAATTTGGTCCTTGAATTTGACATCTTGAATGCAGATGAAATGGGCAGAGATAAAGATCTGAGTGAGTTTGACAAGGGCCAAATCATTATGTCCAGAAGACTGGGTGAGAGCATCTCCAAAACCGCAAGGCTTGTGGGGAGCTCATGGTCAGCTGTAGTGAGGATCTCCTGAGAGTGGTCTGAGGATGGAGAAACCCTGATCCACCAGGGCGTTGGGCAGCCAAGAGTCATTGATGCAAGATGCAAATGAAGGCTTACAATTATATATACTCCAAAGGACACCAATCATGTTCAGTCATCCAGTAATGCATTTAATGCCACATCAACTCCTTAACTGGAGAGTGTACATGGTACGGTAAAGAGAAGGATAGTACAAACCAACAGAAGGGCTACTGTGCCCCAAATGGCAGATTACAGGAGTAATGCGTCACAACACACACTGTGTGGAACTGTGCTGTGTACGAGAGTTGTCTTGCAAAACAATTAAATTTACGATGCAATGCATAATGAACCACGGGAGGCCTGTATTAATAAATGTATTGTCTCGTCAAAGCATACGCAAAAAACAAAACAAAAGAAACTGATGAACCACAGCATTTCCAGGTGAAAAAGTCCCTATCAGCTGTAAAATCTGGAACAATTTACCAACTGATACAGCAAAAGTAGAGATACAACTTTTTCATCTTATATAACTGATATATGATGTACTGTATAACTTACATAAGGCCATATCGCCCCAGTTAGAGTGGAATGTTTTATGGACTTCTAATGGCATTACTGTTAAACACACACAATGCTATGAGTACAATACTTACACTGTGTTTTGCAAAAACAAAATTGCCCTTTTGAGTGGAAGGAACGCATGTTTGGATAGAGGCTCAGGAAGAGAGGCTCAGGAATAGCTTCTATCCTCAGGCTATAAGACTCCTAAATCAGGACATGCCGCCAGAGTCCATTTACATCAAAAGCAAATAGCACACTGCACTTTGCAACACAAATACACATCGTCTGTTCTATTATATTGCACATTGTACAGATATTCCCTATAATTGTAATGTTATTCGAATACATTTTTTGTATATATTTTCATTACATTAGTCTTACCTGTTTTATATTTAT